ATACCAAAAAAAAAAAGAAAAAGAAAAAGAAAAAATTGGCAGAAATGGGAGGATAAGGGTGTTGGAAGGGGACTCACGCCAATGTGTCTTTCGCGGTAACACTTTTTTAAAATGTGAACGTTCACTGTATGTTTCCCCCTGACACCCAGCACCCAGGACCACTAGGAGGACTGAACAGGGACCCCGGTGACTCAGCGCGTCAGCCCAGGCCCCTCCGGCCGGCTCTGCCGCTCCTGCTCCCCAGGAACACCTTCCATTCCCCTCCCCTTTCCTCCCTCCCAGCCTTCCCCAGGAGCAGGTGTCTGGGGCCCAGGGGCTCCAGAGAACCCACCACCTCCGCCTTCCCTAGGGGAGGAGCTTGCGGATCCAGGCGCGATGGACGGGAAAAGGCCACGAGGGGCGGACAAGGAACAGCAGGGCCGCACGGGAAGACGGTGCCAGGCGGTGTGAGAGTTGGGGTCGGGGCAGAGGAGCCCACAGCTGAGTGAGGGCCGGGTCCTGTCCAGCCCAGCCGAGAGACGGCCACAGAATGCCCGGCACCCGGGGACGTGGGTTTCCCCGCACAGCCTGGCCTGGGTGGCAGCGGGGTGGGGTGCGCGCTTCCCCGAGCCCCTGTGTCTCACGGCAGTGAGCGAAGTTCCAGGGCAGAATCCCTGCCTGAAGAAGCGGGGAGGGACAGTGAATCTGAGCAGCCTTCGCCTAGGCCAGGGCCTGGCTTTACCTTCCGTGGTGAGACCCTCTTCCACGAGGGAGGAGGCAGAGGTGGTGACCACGACGTCCCTGTCCTGGGGGCTCGTGGAGCTGTCGGGGGAGGCCGAGGACGGGTCCTCACCCTGGAAGTCCTCACATGTCCTGCCCTCCGCCTGCAAGAGATCTCGGTGCTGCTGTCAGACGCAGCTGGGCCCCAAAGCGCATTTTAACCTCCCACTAAGTTGCAGCTACTCAGGAGGCTGAGGCAGGAGGGCCCTGGACCCAGGAGTTTGAAGCCAGCCTGGGCGACCCAGCAAGATTTTGTCTCAAAAAATAAACACCTAACCCTTCTACCTTGTTCTGTAAGGATCTCGTCCTACAGGGCAACCTGTCGGCTACTTCAGATCCTTCCTCGAGGAAGGATTCATTAATCAGGCACTGGTCCCAGATTTCTTTTTTTTTGTTGTTGTTTTTTGAGACAGGGTCTCACTATATAGTTGAAACTGACTTGGAACTCACTATGTAGTTCAGGCTGGTCTCGAACTCACAGCGATCCTCCTGCCTCAGCCTCCCGAGTGCTGGGATTACAGGCGTGCGCCACCATGCCCGGCTGCTTCCCAGATTTTGAGGTCGCGATAAACAACAGCAAAGAATCACAGTCTGAATGTTCTGGCAAAGTCTAGCAGTGAGAAGGAACCTGCGCAGCATTCTAACCTCCACACCCCAGAATGGCTGCCACCCTGAGAAGCTGCGGGACTGGCGCCTGGTGGGTGCCTCATGGTCACTGCATCTCCAGTCTCCCCAAGAATCCAACTTGGCTGAGGTCGTGCCCAGGATGCCCTCCGCAGGGACGGGAAGAGCTCCTGGGGGCAGCCTGCTCATGGCCAAGTCCTGGAAGTGCTCAGGGCTGGGACTCACAGGGCCCTCTAGAACCTTCTAGAACCTTCCACAGCGGTCTGAGGGGCTCAGTGCAGTTGGAACACAAATCACAGATGGAGGGGAGAAGACACCAAAGGTTAAAGACACCTGGAGGACCAGGTGCGGTGGTGCATGCCTGTAATCCCAGCACTGTGGAGGCTGAGGCAGGACTGCCTTGAGAAAGGCACTGGGAGAAGAGCCACCGGGGAGGGACCACCGCAGATGGCCCAAGCCGCTCACCTCCTGGGCGCAGCCATAGGCCAGCCACTCCTGGCGGTGACGATCAAAGCCACTGGAGCACCTGCAGGGGACAGAAAGGTCAGAGATGAAGGGATCAGCAGAGAAGCCCCCCTTGGCAACCCCCAACTCAGTGGCTACGGGCTGAGGTGGTCGGGTTCCCCGAGGCCACCAGGCCGCCCTGGGACTTGCAGCCCGAGTCTCCTGCTCATCTGTCCCTTCCCTGAACTTGGCGAAGGCGCCTGTGGAATCCCCACCCTCCTGACCCGGCTCCCTGGAACAAGGCCACATCTGCCCAGATGTGCGGTGGACCGCATGACCTCCAGTGACCGCGAAGGTCCCTTCGCCCCCGTGCTGCCGCGGCACTGCTGAGCACATGGGAAAGCCGTGCCCACTTTCTCCTCCGAGAGATGCTCGCACACACAGGGCTCCCTCAGTGGCCGAGGCTGGGGCGAGCCTGGGAGGACGGAGCCAGCACTTTGTGATCTTTAAAGGCCCGGGGAGGGTCCTGCCGGAGGCTGGGAGAGATTGAGACACCAGGAGCTTCCTCAGGGAAAGGGTGGAGGCAGAGGATGAGCCCAGGCCTCCCACACACTTCCGCAACCCTCTTCAGCACCAGGGGAAGCCACTGGGACATCTGCGTGGGAAGGAACAGCGTCCAGAGCTGCCAGGGCCGGGAGCAGCTCTCACGCTCCATCTGCTCAAGACCCAGTAAGGCCAAGGGCGAGGCCTCCGCAGGCTCCTGTGGCACAGCGGCCGGGCAGGGCCTTCTCTCAGGTCCCTGTGCCCACCTCTGTGGGCACGGAGGGCCGGAGGGCCGGGGGGCCGGGGAGGCTGGGGACTCATTTCTTTTAGATCAAACTGACTTCTCAGGAACTCAGCCGACAGCACAGGTCTAAGGGCGTCAGGGTCTAGGCCTTGAGCAGTCCACCCGGATTCAAAGGCTGGCAGGAGAAAGGGTCGTTTACCGGGCACCTACGGGATGCCCAGCACTGCCCAGCTGTGAGAGGCCCCGCAGCGTCTCAAGGGACCCTCAAAGTGACGCCGGAGGGGAGGATTATGAGCACCGCCAGCTGATTCCATGGTGGGCTGTGGCGGGGTACAGGACGACCAAATACACCGCCAGGGGAACGGACGGCGTCCACAGAGCAGGGCGCAGAGCAGGCAGGGAGCCCCAGGAGGTTATGGGGGGCACAGCAGGATGAGGGGTAGGGAGAAGAGACCCACAGGTGCCCCGTGGCACCAGCCACGCCCCCGGCTTTTCAGGAACCTGGCTCAGTCTGGGCAAGGAGGGGTGTGCATGACAGTGCGTCAGGCCCAGTGTTAGGGCACAGGAAGTTTCCAGCCCCCGTCAGCCTCACACCGTCCAATGGCATCACCTGCCACAGTGACATAACCGCACAGGGTTATGTCAGGGCGTGATGTCACGTCCTCCCACAGCACCGCCACGTCCCGGAGGCTGGGGATGGCCGCCGAGTTCCGAGTTCCTCTCCCATCTGACTTGCTTTGCAGTTCCCAGGGCTCAGCGCACACTGGATGCTGAGTCCTGCGTGGCAGCCACCCCGAGTTCCCAGGGGTCCCCCAGCTAAGGGCACCACCATGAAACCATGGCGCTCGGGCTGGAGCATGGGAGTCAGACTCCCAGGGATCAGGTCCCAGGATCCCAGTCAGGGCCGGGGTGGAGCCGCCACGAACCTCTGCAGGACGTGGCACCAGGCACAGCTGAAGGCCGGGTGCGGGGAGACGCAGGTGTCACAGCTCCGGCGCTGCAGGCAGGCTGGGTGGGGCAAGGGGTAGAGACAGAGAGAACATGGGGACCTTCAGGGTCACAAGGTCACCCTCGCTGGAGTCGGCCCAGTTCATTCCCCCCTCCCTTTGCCCCCCTGGCACCAGAGAGTCAGGCCCCGAGCTGTTGGAGCCCATGGGGCAGCCCGATCCCTGGATCCCTGCCTGTGCAGGTCCCGTGGGGAGACAGACACTGGACAGATCATCGGATCGTCAAAGAAAGACAAAAGGATCAGGAGCTGTCTCGTGGCTCGTGCCACTTTACGAAGGGGAACTCCGAAAGTAGGAAGGGGTCCCACCTAGTGGTTGGGGGGTCCCTACCGTGGTGGGACAGTGGCTGCCATGGCAAAAGGAGCCCCTGAGGGCGAGAAGCACAGCACATCCCCAGGGCGGCTCGGGACCCTGCTGAAACCACAGGAGTGGTGTGTTTACCCGGAATCAAACACTGTTTCCAAGGAGAAGGCCTCCCTTGAGCTCTGTCAGCTTACAAATCACTACTTTGGAGGTCATAGAGCTGGGCAGCACGGTGCTGTTATGGTGACAGTTGCTGGGTTACTTCCCAGACCTGAAGCCCACTTTCGTTGAGGGTGCTGTCCCCTAACTCGAACCCACAGAAACCTGGGTGGTGGCTGCCATGGGACAAGATGTACAGGGTTACTTCACAATGTCTGTCCCCTTTGCTCTCAGATGTCGTGTGCAGTGGATCATTTAAAAATGTTTTGCCCAGCTGGATGTGGTAGTGCACACCTGTAATCCTAGCACTCAGGAGGCTGAGGCAGGAGGATCGATGTGAGCTCGAGACCAGCCTGGGCTACACAATGAGTTCCAGATCAGTCTCAACTATATAGTTAGACACTGTCTCAAAAAACCAAAAAATAAAAATAAAAATAAATAAAATGTGTTTTGCCCAGAGCTGGGAGTGGCAATGCATACACACCTATCATCCCAGGCTCAGGAGGCTGAGGCAGGAGGATCACCACAAGTTTTAGTGCAACCTGAGTTCACAGCCAGCCTGAACTACACATAGTCGGCCCTCCCGCCAAAAAAAAAAAAAAAAAAAAAAAAA